TTTGAATATCCGTATCTCACAACAGAAGCAACGAAGGGTGGGGTGTGGATGAGGGTAGATGGATGTGGGGGGAGGTGTATGGGTGTGGATGTGACTGTTTCCATAATTCACGCCCACACCTACACCCCATTGTTGAAGGTGACCGTTTGCGGCGATCGTAATTCATCGGAAATGATCGTTTACTACGACAGTAAACGGTTTCCGTAAACAGTTGTCGTATGTCGGGGTGTGGGTGTGGGTGTGTGCATGGGTGTGAAGGTTTCCTTCAATGACATCCACACCCACATCCACCCACATCCACCCACATCCACACCCACACCCGCACCCAACCACACCCACACCCCACCCATCGTTGCTTCTGTTGTGAGATACGGATATTCAAAATTCTGTTGTGTGAGAAAGCAGATGCTATGCTTTTGTTAGTATGTCACAATAGTATCAACGAAAAACGCTGAAACTTTTACAATGAAGTAGTTTCATTGTAAACATTGTTTGCGCAAAGTTGCAAGTCAAATCTAAAAATTCAACTTTGAACGTGGCCTGAGGGAGAGTACGGGGTTTCGTTGAAAAATTCAGTACAAAATCTATTTTTCGAAAACTTTACGAGTAGAAGAGGCTAAATAAGGACAGATAATCAGCATCAAGTGAGAAGCATAATTATACAAAATATCAAGTTCTTAGCAATATTGATTGTACGGATTGCTCCTGGTCGCCATTTTTGTCCACTGTGCGGGTGTGAGTGTTCACGTGATCTACGCCCAAGGCTACTCCCATATCCACATCCATACCCCACACCCACACCCACACCCTCCTTGATACGAATACCCCTATGTGTTATACCATCGATCGATCCTTTTCGAATATCAGCTAACGTCACATTGTTACGACTAAAAGTCTGAAAATTGTTACTGTTGACGTAGAGACTCTTGGTACCTATTAGATAATTCTGTGACACCAAAGCTTCAGCCACTTCGGGATTTTTAACAGCTTTAGAGATCTTGATAAGTACGAATTCAGCTGCTGCATCATTGGGTTCCTTATTGAACAAGAGATCATTGAAACTTGATAGAAAAACAGCACTAACCTTTCGCCAACATATCTCGAATTCATTTAGTCGTTCTTCTGACGTGATAGCCATTACTCAGATATGCCTAAAATCTGCCTTCGATACTCTGGATAATTCGATGTGAACCACTGTTCATAATCGGCTTTGAGAGCATCAAGTCTTTTTATTTGCGAAACATGAGTTGCTGAGACACAACCTATTGCATACTGTCAGTGTCAGGGTGTGAGTGTGGCAGGTGTAGATGCGAGTATGGATGTGAGTTTGTGGGCGTGACTCTGGGCAGCGTCGATGTGGGTGAGATCTTCTCGTCACCGACACCTCACACCCTTCCGTAGAATTTTATGACAATGAAATAAAAAACAGAATGATAATATTTCATATCTTCTTCCTATTTCATAGTTATCGAACAGCTAATTTTATACATTGAAATATTCATCTACAAACATGTTTTACCATGAATTTTTTAAAATTCTGATAAAAAAAAACAAATAATAATTTTTCAGTTTTCTTTTAGTGATTTCCATTGGAAATAATAAATAGTCAGTTAATCATATATTAATATAGTTTTTAGTATTTATTCAATCTATTAAACAGAGAAAGATTAAAGCGTTTTTGAAGAACGACAATAAGTTGAAGTTAAAAGTTTGAATCGATCAACTATATGAAAATATTCATTAAGATAACCTATAGCATAAGTGATATACATGACAATACCCCATATTTGAGCATAAAATGATCCACTACAGCCAACTAATAATCCATAGACACTACAACCGAGGCCAATGATTAATTGAGAAGCACCTAACACCAAAAGAATCTTAGAAACATTCCAAACATCAGCAAAATGTGGATACATAAATGTATGTAAAAGTGAATTAGAAACGATTGTTGGCCATTCATATGAAACATCACCAAGTAAACCAGCTAATACTACTGATGGTGTTGTTTGATGATGCCAACGAAAATGCATAAGTACGGGAGTTTTATTTAAAATGACTAAGTAAATATCTATAAATTCCCATAATTTACTTAAATAGAAAATATACCAGAGTAGAGCATATGCACCTTTTGGAGTTGGTCGATGACATATTAATCGATCCAAAGAAACAAATCGACCATCTCGATATGCAATTGTATTAATTAATACAAAAATTAACGCTGAAAATATGCCGATTAGTAAATTATTGTAACGTTGAATACGACGCACGTTTATTGGTTTATTGCGATTATTCATAAAGATTTCTAAAGCAAATGTCAAAGCTAAATGAACGATCGAAATAAACACAAGAAACTTTAATGATGTCAATGGTGTTTGACCAGGTTCAAACACAAAATCATCAGGATGCCACATTATTCCTATTCAAAAAAGAAAAAAAACGAAAAAGAAATAAAGTTTTCAAGGATCAACATTGCTCAAGTATTTTTAACATTAGTCATATTCCTTTTGGTCTTACAAAAAACTATTCATTGATAAAGAATCAGTTTATATTCTTACCGATTATTTTAAAAGAAAACGATCGTCGTTTCTTCTTGTTGTTTTTATCACACTGAAAGTTATATCAATATTCAAGGTTTTATTGTCATTTTCTTTCTTTTCTTATTTATAAAGGTAAAAACATGGCGCAATGTTTGATAAGAATCTATGTTATTGCATCATATCTTGTCACAATGATATATTAAGTTAGATCATGTAAACGACTTTATCATCGGAATTCAACTCGATAATAAATGACTCTTCTTATCGAAGACTTTTTTTATTTTAATAAATATTGCTTTAAGAAACAAATGGCTATTTATTAAATTAAATTCTATTATGCCTGATGGCAAATTTCGCTATTTTCTATTCGAAGAGATGAAAGTAGTGTTTTGCCGATGTCGATTGACTTTCAAGAAAATTTTTATTTTACCATGAATAGAAGCTGTTTTAAGAAAAATTATGTTGATTTTCACTAAGAAAAAGAAATCAAACTAATATAAAATATATTTATTTGAGAGTTGAATCATCTATTCAGAGACAATTAAATTGTCTTATGAGTATCTTCACTATTATTTACGGTTTTCACCTAACAAAATACGACCAATAATGATCAAAATAATAACTATGACAGCTAGTATCTTATTCACATTGTGTTCAAATTCTTGGAGATGCATCAATCCATGGTTTTTACATATTTCAAAAAATTTATTCCGGACAAAAAAAATATATAATAGCCACAACAAAATAGGATTTTAAAAAATTGATTGCCGTTTGTATTATAGATAAACTTCTTGTGAATATTCTTCAAAATAAAATACCTTGAGAGATAAAGAAATAATCAGAAATGAAAACGTCTAAAAAATGTTCGCTAATTGATCAGCATATGCGGAGAAACATTACAAGATATAAAATCTAATTGAAGCCGATATTTGATGTGTTTTCTTTTTTTTCGAAAACAAATAAACTCCTCAAAATAAAATGTGTCTAAAAAATTTCATTGCAAAGACAATACATTTTTGTATCAGAAAAAAACCTAACTTTCAAGAATTTCCTCTAGAGGAGCTCAAAGGTTCTTAGGCGTGAGAGAGGGGGGACGCTGAGCCCCCTAGTTCAGCCACTGTACAAGAGTGTATGAATTTGCAATGGGTTACAAAACTTTGCCAAGATTTATGAGTAAAACGGTTAACAAAAGGGCACACTACACTCATAAACCTCAGAAGGATTCATCTAGTGGTAATAAACGGATAGTGAGGCTTTATGCTTCTCCATGTTCTTTTGTACGGATATTAAAGGATCAGACTGATGTGCTTCCTATATAATCCAAGTCAGAAGGCAGACACCGGAATCCGATGAAATCAGGCTGCAAAGATTCTGACGAAATCCGAGTCGAATCCAATGCTTTCCGATATAATCCACAGGCAGTATTGAATGACCTCGAGAGTTTCGTTTAGAACTTTGAGGAGTCCTCGAAATAAGATTGTGATTAATTTTCGTTATTAAATTTTTACCTTCGAAATCAGAATTTAAATAATTCATTTAATACAAAATTAGGTGTTATTTGCATATGTGCCAATAAATTTAAGTTTGTAACAAAAACATTAATTTTATGTCTTATTCTAATAATTGTTTGATTTATTAAATGTTTATTAAGATCTAGTTGTAGTTTCAACATTTAAACAAGAATTTGATTTAACATATTCAACTACCTACAAACCAACTCCATATGTCATTATTGTTATGTGATATTTACTTTTTAAATAAAATTATTAAATTAAACATTTATTTATTTATAAAATTACATGTATTGAATAATTTCATCAAACAAAATTTATTATTAATAAAAAAGCAAATATGTTTAGATTATTCATTCTACATATTAATGATTATCCTTTTATTGACGATTATAAAATAACAATAAAAACATTGAAATGTTTACTATCTATCTATTAAAATTAGATAAAATTATTTGAACTCTGATCAAATCCTTATATTATATTTATACTAAGTAAACTCTTAATATATGATGATTATTTTTGTATTAATCAATTGACCAAGAAATTATTATTTAAGTTGCTATAAAATTAATACATATACATTTATACTCAATTTCAACATAATTATTATATACACTAAACGTATAATTCACAATTAAATAATATATATGCATTATTATTCAATTCGATGCGAAAACAAAGTAATGATTTGAATTATAATTCCATCATCAACACTGAATATCTTGATTGATGCAAAATTGGAAAATAGAAATGATAGACTGATAACTGAAGTATTTCACAAGCCGTCACACGAACTCTACTTTCTTCCATTTAATAGTATTCACGAAAGATATGTTAAAAGAAATATACTTTTCGGGGGTTTCATTCGAGTAATACGATATTCATCAAGCTTTGCAGCTTACAAACAAGAAGAAGCATATATTTACATTTCGTTGTTGCTAAACAATTATCCGATCAATTTTATTCTGACGCAATTCGAAAGAGTTTTCAAGACATTTCAATGTGATGCGCCCATAGAAAAGAATTATACGGATATCAGGTATATAATTTTACATAAAACTAAAAGAGATGATGCAAAGTTGACTAAACTGAATTTTGAAGTGAACATTTTCTGCCATTTTACCTATTGTAGAAGAATAAGCAATTTTTCAGCCCGATTCTATACAATCTGGAGAGAATGTTTCTCAGACACTGCCATTTGCAGTATGAAACCTATTGTGGGAAATATAAATCTAGGGAATCTATACAATTACCAAGTAAACAAAAAGTCTTCACGATCTTTTCTAAATTCAAAACTTTAAATTAGACAATAATGTCTTCGAAAGAAGGATGCTTAATCCTCTTCAACCACAAGGAAGAAATCTAACAAGAAACCTACCGACACATATCGACAACATTGGCAAGTTCCCAACAACAAAAAACACGTTCTACAACTGATTGATCTTTTATTTTATTTTATTTTGTTTATTTGTTTGTTTTCCCCTTCTATTTGTACATTGTGAAGAGACCGCTTTTCAAAGACCGCCGAAACTAGTCGAAATAAAATGTACAAAAAAAAACAAACAATAATAATTTTTATTATGAGAGGAATGCTGCAAAGAAGAAGAAAAAGTTTTGTTTTTCTAAAAACAACAAAAAGCATTTACTCTTTATTTTTCAATTTTAAAGAAAATTATTCATGTTAATATAAATCTCATGTGTTTCCACCGTTAAATCAGAATAAAGTTGAACAAGAATCATGTCCGGTATGTTATATTTTCAGCATATGAGTATGAGTATATGTGTAGACATTAGTGGAGTAATTAACCAAACTGACATTAACATGCATGCCCAGTCACACCAACACCCATATCTACAAATACTCAAAGCTTTCGATTGATTCAAGAATTCGTTCGTAGATCAATTTTTTCGTGAGGAAAAATCACACTGTTCGTCAAACTTTAAGCTACATAAAGTTCAAATTTTCTAATGAGACAGAAGACATTGTTGAAGACATCAATAAGCATCGTGCCAATAGACACAGACATTCATTATCTTGAATTACTGTTAAAACAGTTCTCGTGGGTAATTAGAAAGTGAATCTTCCATTTGTGATAGAGCTAGTCCTTTTTTTCGCTAGATTATTATTCAATGTCGTTCTTCTTTCGAATATATGTAATTATAAATGCTGTTATAACAATCGAACTAGAAGAAATCGTCACCCAAATGGTTCCATTTTGACTATAAAAGTGTTGAAAGCATTCTTTGCTATGCTATTCAGATATTTATGTTATTTCTTCAGTTTTCTGGAATTCAGTAATAATTTTCGAAAAAGAAAATTCAAATTTTAACTCTAATATATGTGTGGTTAGAGAGAGTGCTAAAAACTGTTGTTGACGGTAAACACACAAATACGAATAGCTATTAGTGACCAAATAAGACATGGCAAAGGCATATTCATACTTTCAAATTTCGATGAAAAAGCAGGTTATATTTCTCTCACTAAGAAAGCAAAAGTAAGAGAAAGAGTACTACCATGTTTTGTTTGTCTACCAATGAAATATCATTTATGATGCAATATCGAAACGATGTCATTCGATATATGTTATATACATCGAGAGACACTTTTGATGAATATCATGCGTCAAAAGTGAATAAGTTGATGTCGTCATCAATAATAGCATCTATTGGTTTCGCCATGATTCTTTCTTCCTCATTCACATTCATATTATTTGTATAAATGAATAGCCAATCTACCGAAAAAAAATAGCTTTGCTCTTGAAACTTTAGATAAAGGCAGAAATCTTCATATAGATTATTCAATACGGCTATCAAATACTTATTTGAAATATATTCAAAACTTTTTTCGAATGTTCTTTGAATATAATGTGTGCAATCTTGAAAGTACGATATGTGAATCTTGCACGAATTGTTATTACTCCTATAAGATTTATTAGAAAAAGTATCATACGAAGCAATTATATCTAATCTAGCTAAAAGTGCTCTTGATTTTATTCCTAATAGATTATTAGTGAATGAATGATGTGTTATAAATAACTTTATTTTTTGGTTAGAAAATAGATACATGCAATAGTTCCACATATTCTTATCAAAATATTTCTATGAATACTTCACTCTGATAATAATGATACTTAATTGAAAAAGATGTACAGTTGAAAAGTCAATCTGATTAATCAAGTTCTATGCCAAGTTCTTCTGAAAGTCGTTCAATATTCGATTTTATCTTCCATAGATTACTATGCCAGGAAGGCAGACATTTCGTGTAGATAGCTGATGCTTGTTGATAATAATTAAGTGCCAACGTAGGCTTAGAAATCTTTTCGTAAATTTCACCTATGTTTGCTAAACTGCGACCAATGTCTTCATGATCTGGTGGTAGAACTTTGAGACGCATTGAGTAACAATACTGTTCACACATAAGAGAGAGTTCATGTTCGCCTCTCCAACCTTGAACTTTTGACAAACACTGAAGTAGGGTAGCAATGGAGAGATCTTTTAGAGGTAGACTGGCTTCTTTAATTATTAAACATCTTTCCAAATATTCAGTAGCGAGATCGTACCGGGACTTTCTATTGAAGTTAATAGCGATCCAGTATAGGCAATCAGCAATTTCAACATGATGATCGGGATAATATTGTTCGAGTATGATCAAGGCTTGTTGATAAAAGTCGAAAGATTCATCATACTTTGTTTGCTCAAACAGAGTATTACCGATGTTCTTCAGACTGGTAGCAATTCTAAATTGATCACTGGGTGAGTTACTTTTGAGAAGTGCTAATGCTTGCTGTTGAAAGTCAAGAGCCTCATTATATTTTCTTTGGTCTTGTAAAGTTTGAGCTATGTTATTCAGACAAGTAACAGTATTCGAATAATTAGACGAATACTTCTTATAAAACACCAGTGCTCGATTATAAAAATCGAGTGCTTCATCATATTTTTCTTGACAACACAATATATTACCAATAGAATTCAGACAGGTTGCAAAGTTGTCATAATCGAATGGATAATATTGCTCATAGATTGCCGTTGCTCGCTGATAGAAATCGAGAGATTCATCATGCTTTCCTTGCTCATTTAGGGTTCTACCGATATATCGCAGACTTTCAGCAATACTAACATGACTGCATGGATAGCAATTTTCGAGAATAGTCAGAGCTTGTTGATAACAGTCGAGTGCTAGATTATGTTCTTTTTGATCCATTCGAATATGACCGATGCGATTCAAGCTATCGGCAATATTTTCATGAGAAGAAGAATACTTTTCTTCTCGAATTGTCAATGCTTTCTGTTGAAACTCAATGGCTTCTACGTACTTTCCTTGTTTTCTCATCACATCAGCAATATCGATGAGGCCATTAGCAATATCAATAGGATTCGATGGGCAACATTTTTCATAGATTCTCAGTGCTCGTTGATAGAAGTCAAGAGCATCATCATATTTTCTTTGCCCATACAGAGCTCGTCCAATATTGCCGAGAACGAGAGCGATGCCAGCATAACCAAACGGATGAATTTTCTCTCGAATAGCTAATGATCGTTGATAGAAATCGATAGCTTCATTATATTTCTCTTGACTATATAGGACATTACCAATAGAGTTCAGGCTCTTAGCGATGTTGATATGAGCAAATTTATAATGTTTTTCTTGAATAGTCAAGGCTTTTTGATGAAGTTGAAGAGCTTCCTCATACTTTTTCTGTTTATATAGAATATTACCAATGAAGTTGACTGTATGAGAAGTTTCAATGCGATCATCAGGACTGAAGTTCTCTTGTATCGACAGTGCCTGTCGATAATAATCAATGGCTGCATCATATTTTCTTTCATCGTACAGAACATGACCAATGCAATTGATAGTATCAGCCATGATGACACTGTCTGATGGATAATACTTCTTTTGAATTTCTAATGCTTTTTGATGATATTCAATCGCCTTATCAAAATTTTCTTGTTGACGAAATGTTGTACCAATATTATTGAGAGTTAAGGCAATGTCTACATGACTATTTGAGTAATATTTCTCTTGCATTTCGAGTGCACGTTCATGAAACTTCAAGGTTTCTTCATATTTTCTCTGTCTCATAAGAACACTACCGATGTAATTTAGAGTATTTGCTATCTCATGCTGGTAAAATGGACAATATTTTTCTTGTATTTCGAGTGCTCTTCGGTGATAATCAAGAGCTTCATCATACTTTTCTTGCTTACATAATGTAACGCCGATATTGTTCATATGAGAAACAATGGAAGAATGATCAGATGGGTTGTGTTTTGCGATAGTTGATAGCGCTCGTTGATCCAAATCAATAGCTTCATTGTACTTTCCTTGCTTATGCAAGATGTTAGCCATATTACTGAGGCTAAGGGATATTGAAGTATTGCCTGATGGATAATAGCTTTCTTGCATTGTTAGCGCTTGTTGGCAATAATACAGAGCTTCATCATATTTCGATTGACAAAGTTGTACAGCAGAGATGTGATTGAGAGTGTTAGCGATGTTTGCATAGTAAAATGGATAATATTTCTCTTGAAGTGCTAGTGCTCGTCGATGAAAATCAAGAGATTCATCATACTTCCTCTGTTCCTTTTTTATATAGCCAATATTGTTTAGAGTACAAATAATGTCATCGTGCCCAGCAAAATAATAATTCTGTGCAATTTCAAGTACTTGTTCGTAAAATGTCACAGCTTCATCATATTTTCCTTGTCTACAGTAAGCATTTCCCATTCCACAAAGACTATACGCTATATTCACATGACCAGATGGATAATACTTTTGTAGCATTACCAATGCTCGTTCATGAATCTTTAGGGCTTCATCTTGATTGCCTCCACGTAAGAGAATGTAACCGATGTAATTGAGGGTACAGGCAATGTATGCATGACCATTTGGATAATATCTTGTATAGATTGACATTGCTCGTTGACAGAAATCGAGAGCTTCCTTGTACTTTGTTTGATATGTAAGAACCTGACCAATGTAGACAAGACTAATAGCGATATCGATATGAGGACATTGATAGTATTTTTCGAGCATTGCTAGTGCTTGCTGATGAAAGATCAGTGCCTCATCATACTTAGCTTGTCGAAAGAGGATTTTGCCGAAGCTTCGGAGATTAGTAGCAATAGGCACATGACCATTGAGATGAATCTTGCTCAGTTGTAACCAATCAGTTTCCTGTAAGTTTTGACACACTTTTTGTAACTGAATTTTGGTCGAATGTTCATTAGCAAGCTCCATTCTATTTGCTGCATATTCCGACCGAAACCAATGAGAAATTCCTAGAAAATATCTAGTCAAAAACCATCCGGAATACGATTGAAAGAATCTGCCTAAATTCATTAAAACAGACCAGAACGATGTGTGAACACGACTTAATAAACTACTGTGTTGATGATCCTGTAGATTAGATTTATCAACCTTGGTAGATGTATAAATTTCTTTTTGCAGTGCCAATACTCGTTCATAATAATCCTGAGCCTCTTCATACTTTCCTTCTAGATAGAAAATCTCACCAATATTAAAGAGTATCTCATATGAATCCTTGATCGGTATTGGTTTTATATTCATCATTCGTTGATAAGCCCGATCATAATATTTCCGTGCTTCATTCCACTCTCCTTTTAATTGAAGAACCTCACCAAGACTACATTCAATCTTTGTAAGATCTTCATTGTAGATATTCGAATTGTTCAATAAATGTTCAAAGAAATGTTGTGATTGATTCCATTGACCTATATCATACATCAATCGTCCAAAGAGAATTTTGGTGCTCAGGCCTTCGATTTGACGATGTGAGTCTTTGATATATTTTTCTTTGATAAACTGACCTTCATTCGATGCAGTCATTTCAATCAACCATATGTCTTTCTTCATTCTCACACTTTCCAATCGAAAAGTGACGTTTAAACCGAAGATAATATCTTCTTGTTCTTTACATGGTAAGTCATTAAAATGAACGGTGTCAGCAATAATGACACTGTTACTCAGATGCTGTAGATTGCATTGAATTTCTAGGAGAACAGAAATAAAATCAGTTTGTTTCGAAGATCTCATTGCTTGGTTTAATGCAGTTGAACGAAGCATAGTTGTTCTCAAAAATCCATTGATTGAAACCAATTTACCTTCGTTTTCTTTAAATTTCTCGATTTGATCACTTGTCAGTTTCATTCCTCGACACATGAATAATATTTTTTTACCAGATTGAAGCATCTTTTGATGTTCTCGAACGAGACTTTCTGTCAAATCTTTCATAAAATACCGAAATATATACAGCTGATCGAAATCTTTGGTTCTCAATGCTTTCTTGATCATTTTGTAAAGAAATGATTTTCTCAAATACCATTGAAGAGCTTCTTCTGATCGGTATTCATTTTCAAACTTCTCAATCATTTCTAATTCGCTGATATTGTCTTGGTAATAGGAACGACAAGAATAGATCATTTCTTGTTTAGCTTCTTCATCGTGTGTTAACTGAACAAGAACATCATGATAAAGTTGAAACCAAAGAAGATCAGCAGTTTGTTTTGATAGATCTTGTGTCAAATATTCATCTTGATCAAAGAAGCCGAATGTTTGTGAATGTTGGTCAAGAATATCGACTTGTTCTTCAATTGATAAACATAATAAATCGAGTGCATCATAGATACCAATAAGTTTTGAATATTCGAGAACTAAATGTTCTCGATCGACTTTTTCCCAGTTGAAGGCAAAGATGCTGTCAATTTGAGGTAGACTTGCAATATGAGGTAATATTTGTGATGCATCATAAATTGAAGTGACAAAAATAATTTTTTCATTATCTATTGATTGAATGAAACTGATACAATGTTCGAGTTGAGTGTGAAATACAACATAACTATTGATTTGTCGTAAGTGTTTCTTTGTTTCTTCTGCATGATGATGGAAATCCATCTTTGAGTCAAACCAAATTAGGGTAATGTCTTCTTTGTTAGCAGTTGTGTTCATTGCTTTCGATGAATTTTCTATAATAAGGGAACATGTTGCAATCGATGGTAAAAACATTGAGATAGTTGTTAAGTTGAAATGTCAAACAGCGACTAGAATAAAAATACAATCGACTTAAAACCTTGCAATAATGAAAAAGACGTAAATTTTCAAGACAGAAGAAATATGTGGGTGCCCTATTGCTGACTAAGCGGTTTTAGTTGGAAAGAATTGGCAGAGAAATAATCGGTTGAATTCAGTTACAAGAAATCAATTGTTTTCCACCTTTCAAGAAAGAGCTTGATTATTATTCAATTTTCAGTACATGTTCAAAAAAAAACAGAAACAGTCTAGAGAGTTTTAAGCATCATACAAGCATCTAATAGAAATTTTCAAAAACGTGATTTTATATGAATCATGACATTTTTCTGAAAACAACACAAACTATTTTTATTCAATAGTATGTATTTGACAAACAAAAATCAAGAAAAACAAGTCTGAAAGTACGATAAAATTAGAGACACAAGCATTTTGAATAATTATTCCTAGCATTTGTGTAAGACTCAGTATTTCAGTATAAATATTAGAGAGTTATTAAAACCAATGTTGTTCTTGAAAATAGTACGAGCTAAGGCTTGTCTACGTAGTTGAAATGTACAGGATTCTGATCGCAAAAAAAATCGATTGTTGCTTATGGGATATTAAGTAAGCAGAAAAAAAGCAATACTTTCGTCTTTTCATGTGACTTCACCTATCTCTTATTATGAGGCTAGTAGAATGAGTGACGATATTCAAATATGCACATTGATCAGCTATATGACGTATATATTATTGAAGAGAAGTAACTGATTTTGTCCGATTGCGATGTGTTTGTGTGTACATAAGAAAAACCTTTTTGCTTTCACAAGGTGAATAGACTACAGAATAGAGATGCGTCACGCTATTACTGACTCCTGTTCTGTTCTTGTGCAATATCAATCCTCTCTCCTTTTCTGACTCATTTTTCATACCTATGTGCATCGTAGTGTCCTTCAAACGCATAATGATATATCTTTGTGAGCAACACATTTCTTCCAAAGATTTTAGAAAAACAAGTCGAGAAGTTTCAAGTTTGAGTAACTAATCAGATTGAAGATTAGTAGAATTAGTATCGGTTGCTTGGAAACACGCTGATTGTCATTATTGAAGAACATCCAAGTTTCATGTGTATAAGATATGTTTTTGATTTCATACTTTCATAAAGAAGAAACACTGCGTTATGTGTAATTTGATCTGTGAATTAAATCCTGTGATTTGAATTAAACTGAAAAGTGAACAATAATTCATATCTAATTGATTCTACGATTGAATATTCGGGTCCATAACGAAAATAAAGTGCAGAAGAGTATATGAAAATAATTCCATTGAGATCACTAGAAATTCGACTCTTTCATGATATTATTAGCTTGTTCAGTTCAAGAAAATAAATTTAAAGACTTTTTACCAGTGAAATTATTTCGACTATGATGTCTCTGATGTTTATACATCAATCATTGGTTTGTCAAACAGGTTGATCTATGTCTTAATGGTGATAAAAATTTCTTTGCAGTATTTTTAAACACTTGTATATATCATTAGTCATGATTGCCATGTTTTATGATCGAAAAAATTGATGTAGACAATTATTGAAGTATAACAGTGATCGTGGCTACTTTTATTTGTAAAATATTCTCAGAAATTAATTTATTATAGTCCTTTGACTTGTGTAATGTATTTATTGGTGTTGATTGCAGATTTGATGTGGTATTCATTTTCTTTTTGCTGACTTAACGAATGGCAAAGAATCAATTCAAAATTCCAGTTAGAAATTCAAAATGACGATAGTCAAAAAAAAACGAAACACTACATTTAAGAAAAAAGGCCGAAGATGAAAAGAATTAAATAAATAGATGTATCTAGAAATGAAAAATACTTCACTTCTGTTTTGAGAATCAGTGTGAGACTAACTGCTAATTTCTAACTTACATTTGATATGTAGCTTCTACAAGGTTCATCATTGATTTAATAGATTTTCGTTTATTCTGAGTAATTCATGGCATTGTGAATAAAGGCATTCCAACCCCGAAACAGATTTTCGGTGATATTACTTGTCATAAATCAATATTGCAATAAAGTAGTGAGAACTCTACAAAGAATTTACAGGAACATTTATTATCTCAGAATTGTTTCTTATTTCTGAAACCTACCTGTATGAAATAATCTGATCTCCGTGAGATGCTGAAAGGATATGATACTTCATATTCTATACTAGAAAAACATGAATTTCTTTCAGACTCAGCAGTTATTAGATTCTGTGATTTTAAATTTCTGGAACTCTCAAAAATGTAACTACACTTACAGGACATTCAGAGTTCATGGAACTGCATGAAACTCTGACAATTTTGACGTCATCGAACTTAAGAAATTCTCGAAAGCATGTGGTTGTAACGGTAAACAAAGTTCAACGTAGAATTTGTTGTCGACGTAAAAATCCATGATTTTGAAAGATTTTTAAATCTAAAAAAGAATCTAGAAATCGACTATAAAAAACATATCGATAAAAAATCATTTAGTAAACTTCACAAGACTCACATACTAAAAGGTCTATTATTGCAAAATAACTGACGAGAAAACGTTTCTAAGTGTGAAATCGCTTTTGATTCGAGACTATATGCATCAAATAGGTTCTAATGAGTTATGAATAACCTGAAAAGAGTACGGATTGATGGTTTTATACTATGGAGATAGAGTATTTTTTAGACAAATGCTGTAATTGCCCCCATGAACACCAGAAAAATTGGATTTTGAATTTGGACTTGAAATTTTGCACAGAGACACGTCTTAATGATAGTAGTCTATCGTAAAAGTTTCAGATAATTTAATTGCTTCTATCCTAGGATATGGTTATGGTAAAAGCATGTTTTTCATAATACTCATACCATGGCAAATTTTGATGTTCTTATTTCGTAATAGGCGCAATCAAAAGCATCTACAACTTTCACAATAAGCTTTTCCTTTTTAAGGTGTATATCTATGTAAAGTCATCTTTGTTGTAAACGTGACTGATTTTCTTTTTAACAGATAAAATTAATCTAACATCCTATGAATGTGAGTTATTGAAAATGACTACTTTGTCTAGTTGAAAAAAAACAACTAATTAATATCATGTTTTCTTAATGCAAATGAAAATTTGAATTTATTTTTATATAAAAGAAAGTTATTTCATAGTTTTGTACCTAATTAAAAATTAATTGTGTTTAAATTTAATTTTGCCTAAGACAAATCCATACATAATCAGAATTGCGTATTTTTTTCATAAAGCGATACATCAACCTAATTTGATTATTTTGTCACTTGAATTACTTTTAATTACGATCATTTATATGCCAGAGATAAAGCGTTTCAATGACTATAACAATATGTATAAAATATTTTTAAAATTTTGATGGCATAATCCATAATAAGCTACAATAGAATAATAAAGAAACACGAAACAAAAATTAGCAATAAACTAAAATAATCATATGAAAATGAAAAAATCTTTGAAAAATAATTCGTTTTAAATCGAAATGTTTTTCATAGTAAGTATACTACTTACTCTATAGTCACACCAAATTTGAAGTCAAGTGTAACTTTTAATGAGAGATCTTTTGTTTGCATTTCGATGAAGATATATCATTCTAGTACAGATTTTATATTTAATGGATTTATTATTTGTCTCTAGTTATACTGGATTTTTTTTTAAATAAGCATATTTCTATCGAGTAGGCTTTTCGTAATGACATCGTTTCAGAAAAAATTCGACTAAAACCTAAATTCCAAAATGAATATTACAAAAAGGGATAAGTGTTAGTGAACCATCCTAGCTCTTCTTCTTTTATTTCAGTTATACGATGAGCCATCAGAGAGACACGATCGAATATTCTCTTTCTCAGAATTCGACATATTAGGATAAATACCTCTGTAATTAGTCTATTTTATACAAAACAAAAAAGGAAAGTTCAATTCTGAAAAACTCATCATCAAATATTTGTTCATAAATCAATCATTATAGACTAAAATAATTTCTATTATCAATTTATTGAAATATTTTAATATCAAAAAACAGTAAACTATTGGAAATAAACGAATATGATCTATAAGCTTCATTCTGTAAAAAAAAACTATTTCAATTGAATGAGAAATAGAGTAGAAAATAAATAAGTCCTGAATGAAAAATCAATCATACTGTATTTGGTAAACGGTATAAGGAATTCTAATTCGATTGAGATTACACTTTCATCGATTGCTTTTCCTATGTCATTCATTGTTTATCATAGTGTCGATAAGTCATACTCAACATGCGCTGATATTCGAATTTTTAAAGAAAATCTTTCTTTTTTACAACTGAAAATAACACTTTAATGCAAAAAACAAAGAATGTCGATATGCATAATGATAAATAATATTCTGTTTTTAAAGAATACTGATGGAATAGATTCATTTTTCGTTTGCCCTCATCTGTTGCATATAAAACCTTGGACTGATTTTGAATGATGAATCTAAATAGTAATGTTAACCTTCTAATTACTTTTGTAAGTATAAACATGGAACTACGCATAGTTCTATATTTTTGACTATGTATAAGAAATCTGATATAAATTTTGTCGATTATTCTACTATAATAACGTTAATAATTGATTGTATTATTGAATAAAATTTCAATGGACTTTCTTCAAAACTATTTCATTTCTTTGAATTTCTTATCAAGAGACAAAAATGAAAGAATATTATCAATATTTATTTGATTAAAAAGTCCTTTAAATGTGAGTGAAAAATTGAAATTCATTTATATATATATAACCTGTAAATAATTCAAAAATCTTTTTATTTCTATCAACGTTTAATTTTATTTACAGAAAAAGGAGCTTGATTTCTATAGATCAACGATGAATTTCAAAAATACGTTGACAATTCTAATCATCGTAACAATAACACACTATTTGATTTATCTATGCAGTATCTATAAAAAGTTCCATATTCTAATTTCTATGCAGAACAATTAAAGTGAAGTATAACGAATACAGTATAAATCATAATGTCATCAATATATTCACAGACTATTTATATCATACATAATGGTGAAATCGAAGAAGAGTCAGTAGGGCTATGTCTACAAAAATAAGAACCACTTTCTAATCGATCTTGTAGTATTTTTTAAATTTTTTTGTGACGCTAGTTGGTTCATTAGAAACTTTTGTAAGCAAAACTTGTCGCTTGTTTCCCATGTTCAATTATCTACGATTGGTATGTTGCTGCAATTTTTTGCCAAAATGAACTCATCATTTTACTTAAAAATCAAAGAAGAATCTTTTGAAAGTAAATTGCAGTTTTGGTGATATAAATTCCTTGAAATAGTGATGATATCATTATTTATGATTATTGTATTCTTTAAAAGTTTCGATCAAAGTTTATTATTATATATCATCTCATGTAGAATTGAAAACATATTATTTTTCATCTAAAATATAACAGAAATAGAAATTTTTTCTTTTGTTTGTACCAGAAAAAAAGAAATAAGGAAACAAAAAAGATCTTATATTTAGTAAATAAATATGAAGACTAAAACAAATATGAATGCATGCATAAGACCTTAAACTTCAGACTATTTAAAATCTATTGTAACTAATATTTGTTTATTTAATCTTGATATTATTATGATTGAGTCTCATATTTATACTGCAGATATAATTATTATCACTCGGTTTATTCTGAAATTTTCAACTAGAAAGAAAAGTAACGATTTATTCATAAAATCGTAAACTTGTCTATTGTACTAATATGTTATAGAAACGGAAATTTGTTTATATAAGTATGCCATTATTATGTTAAGAAGTTTTAGAGTCATCTGTTCATCATATCTGTTGTCATTTATATATTTGTTCTCTGCTTTTCTTTATTCTATCATCATATATATTTTTCCTTTCTGTTCTCTTGTCATTGATATTTTCCCCTTCTACCATCTGGTCATATGTGTTGCTCTATATACAGGTATTTTCTTTTTTTCTATTTATCATCTCCTAACAAGTGTTTTATTCTTTTATATATACCTTGGTTATTTCCCTTTAACATCTAACTACTAACCATATATAAAGTAGTCGACACATCGATAATAAAGACGATAAGATACGTGTCATAAATCTATTTGTTCTTAGTTGTCAACTTATCTAGATCAATAACCTCACAATTATCTTTAGTTGTATTTTAATATTTGATTTATTATATGTTACACAATCTATTGTAAAAAAATAAAGAAATATTTCTACTTGAAAAAAATTCTATATGCATCCGTACAATTAAATAATAATCAGATTCTAAGTATTGTTAATAGTAAATAAAGACTCAAACAAAAATTACAATAAGATAGTCTTTTTCGTGGTTTCGTTTACTTCAATTGTTAATAAATATCATTCAACGATTCAATTTTCATTCGGTTATTTCAATAATAATTATTGTTCACAATGAATTTTACATAGTCATCTTAATATGAAGATTGTTTTTTCACTTAATTTAAAGTTTACATAAATGAATTAAATCAGAGAGATAGTACTGACAGCACTATAATAAAAAAAATTCAAATTCAATTGTATAATTATATAAATTTATAGCATTGTCAGTATGCATATCGTTGTTATTTATGACTGCAAATTGTAATTATAGTTTAAAGTATCAAGTCAAACGATAAGAGTATGAAGAATGAAAAAAAAGAGAGGTATGGTTTTTTTCGTTTTTACTCAATAATTAGTATGAGAAAGGGAAAAAAAGAGTGTTTGTTAAAATAAAATAAATAGTAATCTTACTAATACACATAAATGAACAAATGATTGAAAAATATTTTTTCTGAAATACGATCTAAACAAGCAATGGTAAATTCCGATTACCAGGAAATTGAAATGAGATTCCAATAAGAAAAATATTCTGAAAATTCAATTGAATGCTTTTAAAAGCAATCACATAATAGTTGTCTTATTATAAAGAGAGGTAAAAATGAGGTTGAGGTTCCAAATTTAGTAGCGGGTTGGGTTGGGTTGGGAAATTCATTTTTATTTGTAAATAGGGTGTGGGTGTGAGCATTGGATAACGAATATGAATTATAAAATAATCCGGAACAATCGAAAAAGTAACCGGGGACTACGAGGGACTATAATTATGTTTATCCTTTTCATATTCATAAGATCCCAGGGACCAACAGGGATCACAAAACAGTACAACGGACCACCAGCGACTAACAATATCTAGCAGATAGCGCATAACACAAGAGGTGTTTAAATCAAGTTCTGAGAAAGAACACTTAGACACTACATCTCATAGTGTGGATGCCACGGAAGAACTCTTGAGGGTGTGGGTGTATATGTGGGATGTGTGTGTGGATGAAGTTGAGAGTGTTGGTGTGATATGGCTTGTGGATCTGGGTGCGATGATAGGTTCCAGTTTGCATGGGAGCGTTGTGCTCGGCACGTCTAGATTTTGATTAATAGGTGTTGGTAGCGTCTTGGATGACCAAATGTCAGGCAGCAACTGCTTGCAGCAGCTGGCAGGCAAGTTATGGGTGTCAGCTAAAATTGAATTCCGAACTTAAGTTTACCCTATGGCAACCTCAATAAATGTACATATTATCTATAATTACTTGTAAGCGAAAATGAATTTCCCAACCCAACTCAACAACTCTATTTAACACCTATGCATATTCATATACAAACAGAGAATTGATACTGATATATAAACGACTCACACATTAGATATTAAAATGTATGTTATGAATTCATAGAAACCTAAAGGATAAACATCGTTTGTATACTCATCTACATCTACGTGTTACAAATATATTATAGTATGTAGTGCATTTCGAATTTCCGGGAAATAGGAATTTACCATGCCCTCGATAAAAGAGCGTATTTTCTTATTGCATTTCTGAAGAATTAAGTTAAAAAATGATGAAGAAATATGTCTCTAAATCGATGGAATAAAATAATCTTTCTGCGATTAGCGAGAGCTGAATACATCATGTTTAACATTTTAATCTCGTAGGAATCGTACCAGCAACTTTTCTGTTAATGACAATTTAATATTGATTGTTTCATTAATTAAAATAAAACTGATAGTTATGCAGAGCAGGATTTAGTTCTTCGGTGAGCTGTAGGTATGGTTGAAGATTGTATCTACACTCACATCCCAACTTTTGAATCATCTAACGAACGTGTACCTTCTTTAGTGCAATTGTTCACGAACTGTCAAGTGGATTTTACTCACTCTCAGTATGTTGATATGGTATTTAAACGTATGGGTGATTTCCAATGGTGAATTATCGGTTCAGATAGGTAGGTAGATCTATTTTCGCAACGGTAGCGATGACAATAAAGCATGATGTAGTCGATTATTTTGCAAGCATTGTCACTAACTCTTGAAGTGGGCGTAACAAAACAAAAATAATTGTAGGATTACATCGGATTCTTTGTACCGAAAAGAAAAGAAAAAAACTGAGAAATTGCAATTAAAAATTTTTGAATAAATTCCAATCAAAACAAAGAAAGTTTCAAAACATTGATTCATCATCTTTTTCATTTTATCTCCTCTTTTAGATTTTTTCCGTTTTATTCTCTTTTCGGCGAATCGTCAAGAGTATTGCACAATTATTTTCATTGTAATTGATGAATCATCTCTCACATTCTTCCCACAGTAAGAAGGAAAACGTAGCAAGAAGTTTATATATAAAGACTCATTGCATATTTTTTCATTTTCGTTTTCGATTAGTAAGCAAGTTCGATTACATACGGAAAATTGCGTCTCCATTGTTAGTTAAATTTTGCATTAGAAAGTGCTATGATACGCAAGGTCAGTGCTCCAATGAATCTGGGGGCTTGTATTGGGTTCCGAGAGACGATAGCCGTAGATGTTCGAAGCAGTCTTCAGAGCGAACATGACAAACTCGATCGCTATGTAGGCAAAGACTTTTTTGATGATGAAAATTTTCAAGCCGCTCTCGAACGCTTGAATGGTGGTAAATATTCACTTTTATTTCTGCTTCTTAACTATTTATCACAATATCCATTACGATATATTCTAATTTAGGCTACGATATGGATCAAGATCTGATTCGTATGATGGGAGGTTATTGTAAAATCGATCGAACTCGTGCTCAAGCTCTTTTGTTATTTAGCCAAAATTGGACCAAGCATGTGAAAAATCAGCCGAGAATTTCATCATATCATACAACTAAATGTGCTCAGCTCGATACAATTAGTATTGCGAAACATCTGGCTCGTGCCGACGATAACCGTTGTGATGCTTTAGAAACAGTGATTAACAATTACCGTACACGTGTTGATGAGACTTACATTCGTGTCAATTTTGGACGACGTTTTGAACATTGTCGATTTCGTGAATTCAAAAAGCTCTTCAAAGATGCTCATGCTTCTGTAACCGAATCAGAGAAAAATCTCGATAAACTACGTGATCGAGTTTATCAAGAAGAACAAGCTCTTTTGAATGCGAAAATAGCAACCGAAAAAGTGATTCATGATGAAACTTCTACGGAAAGAAAGCGACTTAACAAATCGAATGCTCAAACTAAATGCGAAATTCAATTGAAACGACTCGAAGAGAAAGTCACACGTGCTGAACAAACTCTTACGAGTACCAAACAAATATATCGTGAGAGAGCAAAACAAATCTTTGCTCAATGTCAACAAGTGGAAAAACAACGTCTGGAACAAATTCGAGAGATTCTCCTCATATTCACTAAGACGATGTATCTACAAAAGTATGCACCCGAAATCGAACAGATCTATGATGAATTGATCTCCAACATTTCCACTCATCAAAATTCCTTGGAAGATCTGGCATTTTGGGCAAAACTATATGGTATTGAGAAGGATGAAACTGCCACTATTTCTTTGTCGAAGGGCGAATTTGAAACGACGATCACGAATACTTCTAGTGAACTCAGAAGTCCAAGCACATCTGTAACGATCGACAGTAGTGCTGTAGACAACGAATAAAACCATTCCGAAGGCAGAGAAGAATTATTGGTCGCAAAAATAAGTTAGAACTTCAAAAATTTCAAGCGATACAATCAATACTGGCATTGCTGAATTGGCTTCAATAAAGGAAGACAGATCTAATTCTTAATAGAGTTTCGCTAATTAATGTCAGACACATACTATTACTACTAATTTACTAGTCCAGAACAAAGATCTATCACTTTTTTTACTGTCATTTGTATGTTTTCCTTACAAAACCATTTTTTTATTTTCACGTACAATGGAAAATCATTTTTATCATATTAATAGAAATGAATAAATTGAGACAATATGTTGACGAGGATTCATATAAGAGATCTGAGTATTCAGCAAATAGTAAATTCACTCACTTTGTCTCGTGACATTTTGACACTTGTCCAGTCATTTATAGTCACGAGCGATTGCTCTGATTTCAATCAAACTTTCAAATTAAATAGAGTCCAAGAGAAAACAGCAGAGACTTTGGTCGTGAAGTCCCATGAAGTCTTGAAAGTCTTTTAAAGTCTTCTGAAGTCTCTTGAAGTCTCTTGAAGTCAGCTATTGCCCCCTTGAATTATAGTCTATATGAGTGCATCAGCGAGATTTTTTTATCGTATACATAATTGAATGTGCTCTCTCTAATGAAACTATTTGCAACTTCAAATTCGCTGTCTACTTAAGCTTTTTTTCTCAAATACTACTCTTCGGACCCAATTTGTGTGATTTTTCACTAATCTTCGACAATTTTCGAATGGATTATTCCACATTTAGTCTTAAACAGATATTAAATTTGAAATTCGCATAAAAAAACCTAGTTGATCTATGTGTGTTTGAAATTTTTTCAGCTGCTTTCTTCTGGGTCAATTTTTTACTCTCTAATCACCCTCCGGGGTATATAAACAGAAGCCTAATCAAAACAACTGTTTTATTTGTTATTCAAGGGTCTTTTTGTCGTCAAACGACATTTAATAAGTTTAAAACTTCCTTTACATCACCAACATAGTTTTTTGAGTAAATTAATTTTTTCACCTGTTCTTGAGAGGGACTAGAGAGTAAAAAATTTATCCTAAAAAGCTGCAGAAAAAATTTCAAACACATAGATTGACTAAGTTTTTTATACTGATTTCAAATTTAATATTTGTTTGAAGCCAAATACGAATTAATGTGGTCGTCCAATATCAGTCAAAAATGACACAAATTGGGTCTTAAGAATATTGAACAGAGAAAAGTGCTTTGCGAGGCATCAAGTTTCAAGTTGTAAACGGCTGATCAGAAAGAGCAGATTAAATTACGTATTCGGCAAAAAACTTTCGATTGTGCACTCGTATAAACGATAACCTCTAACAGGCAAAAAATCACTGCTTGAAGCAATATGATCAGATCGGGGTGGTATTCGGTATTTATCGATAAAAAAAGTTTTCAATATCGAAAACATTTTTACAGATTCTAATGGAGAAAAAAATTTGCATCGAATGAGACTATTTTCAAAGAACCAAATAAGATTCTAAAGAACTTTCAGGACGAAAATTATGTTTTAGGACTTTCAGAAAGTATTTCAGATCTTTCTTTCTATCCGACTAGTTTGCAAAAAAAAATGTGATATTTCTAACCAACACACTTAACTCCGTCAACCTAGAAGAATTTCTAATAAAACGGCGGAAAATTTTTCTTTTGATGCCTGAGAGGTATCTTAGGCATAATATATTGAATTCTGATAAAATATAAAATAAACTTTTGAAAAATAGTCAGGAAGGAGTGCCAATTCTCAGGCTAATAAAATTAGGTTGAGAATTTTGAGATACGATGTCCATAATTTCGCACACCTCCGTTCAGGGGATTTCTAAAGCTTCTTAAATACTTCTAGTCTCGAAGTCTATTGAAGTCTTCTGAAGTCTCTTGAAGTCTCATGAAGTCTCATGAAATCATTGAAGTCTCCTGAAGTCCCTTGAAGTCTTTTGAAGTCTTTTAAAATGTTCTGAAATGTTCTGAAATGTTCTGAAGTCTTTTGAAGTCTCGTGAAGTCTTTTGAAGTCTTGAAGTCAGCTGTTTCCCCCTTGATAGAGTCCAAAAAGTTATATTAAGGGTACAAGATTCAACCACTAGCGTTGATTTTTCAAGAAATATTCATATTATACGACAAAATGTACTATGATACTTTTTCTGTAGATAACTAAGTACAATTAAACCAACTGAAAAATATTCTTTTTAGGCATCATTCAAATCAGAAGAGTTCGATGAACAAATCTGAATATATTATGAGCTGTTCTTGACTACTTGCTGCGCATGGAGAGCTACAAAAATGACTCGAGTCTTTTCATTGAATAAAACTAATTTAATCATTGAGTTAAGCGAAAATTGAATATTACGCCGCGTGTCTCGTTTTTTATTCAGTGAATTATTGGCAAACGTTTACTATATAATATAGGCACAAAGTATAATCAAATGTGCTACTCAAATATAGTTTACGGCTATTTTAATTTTTTCACATCGTTTACCCGAAAAAGTTGCCACAGTTACAATTAATATTGTTTTTTAATGTATTATTTTAACAAATTTAAATTGTTCAATAATATTGTGGTACAAGATGTACTTGTTCTCTTCACTTCACGTCCCCACTCATACACTTCGTGGATCTTTTTGTGTGTAGCTACTTATGATTGTGTTGTGTTTCGTTGGAAATAAATGAATGTATATCAAATTACAGACTTAGCGTCCCAAAATATCTGAACCTAATTTTTTCACGCTGAAAATTAACATTGAATCTTATTGATTTTTCACAAGGCTATTTTGTACTTTACTAGAATTCAATTTTTTACATCAAAGATTTTTGTCAAGAAGCAAGAAGAGAAATTAACATGATATATGGCAAACTCTTTGGTACAATGACAAAAAATGAGTATTATTCAAAACATCAACATGCAAAAGATTAAGTCTCGCAAACAGCCAACATTATTACTATAGTTGTCTAGATATTATTTTTTTTTGTTCTGTTCTGTTTTTTGCTCTTACGTTTGCTAGTTGTCTCACATACTGTCGATGAAATCAACAAAGACCGTCACTCAGTCGTTTTTATTCACGATAAGCAGGCGCATAATGATGACAGCCACAATACGAAATGTCTGTGTCGTCGTCTATTTTCTGCTTGTGCTCACTTTAAGCCCTTCAACAATCTATGCTACAATGAATTTTACAATTAAAACTCTTTGGAACTCAATACCTATCAGCGGTGATCGACATGTTCAACTTGTTCTTTCATCAACACCTGAAAACGACCATCTGCTCATTGAAATTCATGCACCATTTTTCAACGATTCTCTTCCATTGGGACCAGTCGGCCCGTTTGCAAATTTGTGGAATTATGAAGTTGTTGAGCTATTTTTCTTGGCATCATCAACAAATCATTACATCGAACTCGAATTCTCTCCGCACGGTCATTATCTTGTTCTTTTATTGACCGATCGGCGCAAATTACTGAAGGATATGCTACAGTTAACCGAGTATCGAGTAGAACCTCCATTACTTGATCGATGGTACGGTCGAGTTCTTGTTCCTCGAGCTCATTTTCCAGCTCACATCGACCTTTTTAATGCCTATGCTATTCATGGTGAGGACGACAACCGCATCTATGAAGCGCTTTATCCTGCGCCAATGGAAAGTACTAAACCTGATTTTCATCGTCTCGAGCTTTTTCAACCATTGAATTTTGAAAAGCTGTTAAACATCGGTGACGAAGACGGTGATAGCTGGAATAATCAAGCGTCTCATTCAGTCTATAATTATTCTTTACTATTTCTAATTCTCGTCTTAACCATTCTCTTGTGGAAACTTTAATTATAGATGGTAAATTTATTCAGACTTATTTCTTTTGAGAAACTCATTGTAGAGTGTAATATTATCAGCTGTTAATAAAACACTAATATGATCCAAGATTAATCAAATAACAATTCAACAGAAACAATTACGATATCTGCTTTTACATGACATGCGTGTCAACACGAATAGAATTACTTTGTGATGTGTACACACACATGAAAATTTGCACGTGTACATGCAAAAAAATTCTGGAATGACAAAAAATAGCATAGATAGGTACTATGCATGAACACACATAAAACCACAGTAGCTTTTCCAGATATTTTCGTAAATCATGTGCAAGTCTTTGAAGCTTCAATACATCAGATATGATTCCGAGTTTGAGTTTGAAAAATCCCAGTGCATTCGACTAGGACGAAAAATGTATAATCTCGAGTGATTCTGTGCGGATTCCCGTCTTAAACCTTAGTTATTAAGTCTTTTTCGTGCTAAGACATCCTGTTCAGATCATTGGATATTTTGTTACTCTTTCTGGATAGTACTATCTTATGCTTATGGTGAAAGAATATTAAATCATCACAAGTTACTTAACAAGACAAATATAGCAATTAATTTGAAATGAGCAGAAAGAAACAAGATCCTCATAATATTTCAAAGCAAAGATACGTTAGACAACTATATTTATGAAGACTCAAGCTTTTTTAAGTCGTGTGTACCAAAAGAGAAACAGTACTAACTACGATCTTCTCATTTCATGAAGTTATATGAAGTTCTTTTGAAAAGTTTGGATTGTATTTTGTTCACAAAAACATCACTAGAAAACTGAATCACTCAGATGCTTTCTCACATGTTGAGAAAAAAGACGCGATAACGAACAAGTGACATGATAATATCTAAAAATTTCGCATATAATTAGATGCTCTTCATGACATTTACCAATGAAATTGTCTTATTTTTGGTACTTATATTTTAGCATAAAGGCGATGTTTTATTGTTTTGTCACCTTATGAGGAGCAGAAGCGAAGCACATGTGAACTCAAAACAAAACATCTCATGTTAGCAACTGATTGCTTTTTGATTAAGCTATTTGTTATTATAGTAGCAAGTTTCATCAATTTAAATCTGTGTTACAGAGAATTTTAAGGTTTTTTTGTGTATTTCTGCTATCTGCGACAGTTTATCAGGTGATATATGCTTAGATATGTCTGTCAAAAGACAATATGGTATTTGCTTATGCACGAGTTCAGATTCATTATTCGTACAATTTCTAAAACTTCTCGAACGTTAATGAAGTCTCAAAATCTCCTAAAATCCAACAAACTTCCATAAATGTTGAAAGCTTTTGGTTAATTATCGACAGTAGAATTAGCATTCAGCACCCATGTAGAACAATCGTCATAGAACGTGCAGAATTATTCACTAGAAATGCTACATCTATCCTTGTAAGTGAAAGATCTATTCTTTTTTTGCATGAATTAGAGCATATGCGACGACTCCAACATCAAAATATAAGTAATCTATTATTACACTTGAAACAGATAAAAAAAATCTAAAGTAAGATTTTGTTTGATCAAAAGTAACAATTAGTTATAACTAGTTTCATTATTTTTCCATTATGTTTTGAATAGAGACATAGATGACGAACAACGTCAAGATCAACACGATGATCACCACTACAAGCAAGAAGATAAAGCAAATCAACATAAGCATAATGACAAGTGGCACCAAAACGCTTAACATTTCAAGCATTTGGAACAAATATGACCACCGCAATCGAGTTGCACTGGAGAAAATCATCAATGTGTAATTTGTTATGTTCCGAGATAGCAAAGCTTATATTTTTGTTTTTTTAATATCCAACAAAATAGGCCATTGTTAACTAATCATTATTGAAAATGGAGACTAATAAATTACTCGAACTTGAATAAGTTTGTTAGCATATTGATCTTAAAACTCAGCTCATATTGATGCCTTTTGATTTATACAATTGCAAATAAGTATAAAATTTCTCAACAACTATGGAATCAAGTCTCAAAACTAGAGTTTCATATATTTTATTAAGGATTTGGCTTAGTCATGCTTATGTTAGTTTTGCTCGTTGGAGATGTTAACAAATCTCAATGTGTTACCCATTTTCATTGTACTTCTGATTACGGATTTTTATCTGTTCTTTTGTAGAATCATTCTTTCAAAAGGTCTAAAGATTGGAAATCGGCTCATACTATATGTTTATTACTTAGTAGCAGCCGAGTCTAAACCAATTAAGACGAGCGTATTATCTTCACTACTATCCTCAACATCACCCTACTTAAAACATCAATAGTTGTTCACTCATCCGATTGTCTACGAACAGATGTTGTTCGAGTGTTTGCTTGTCCCAGTGATTCTTTAACTCTTCTAACCGCTTTCTGCGGTCCAACTTTATCGATTGTCAATTGATTTATTCGAACTTTTAGATGTTGATCCTCATTTTTTTGCTCGTCGATTTAAGTTTTCAGTTGTTCCAGCACTTCTTGCAGCTCTCTTTTCGTCTTCTGATATTCAGCTATCTGTGTTGTCTGTTGATTTACTAAACCAGTTAGATGTTGATTTTCGGAAATAATTTGAGTAATAACAGGTCACATTGGCATAAAGCGACAATCAATTAAGTGTTGATTAAGCTGATCACTTTGTCCTGTTCATGAACATTTCTGATGGACAGGAAATAGCTGTTTTTGAACACACTCTCTGAATGTGATCATCGAATTTGTCTCATTGTAATTCAGAGTATCCGTAGAGTAAGTATTTCATTGAAATATGATCGAGTATATTTTAAAGAGAATATGGCACCTGCCTGAGAATTTCGATTGATAGTGCATGTCGACAATGAGGACCAGAATTATTTTGTGTCTTAATCCAACGCATGATACATTCACGAAAAAAATGGTTCACTACATGGAGCACAGCATGGATCGTTGCCAAGTAACAGATAAATACTATAAATCAAGGCTGAGTCAATAGATGTTGCGTCAATGTATTCATATTCAGGGTTCATTGTTTTCTTCTTTTCTTTCTTTATGATTGTCTAAAATAGAATACTTTCCAGTGATAGAGTCCTCTCGCTCACACCTGTATCTGTGTATACGTTTTCGGTTGTATTAACAAAAAAAAGTCATCCTTAACGGATGATCTACTTGCGAATGAAAGGTGCTGCTAAACAAATGAAGAAAATATATAGTATGCATCACCAAAATGTCTTAGAGAAGATATAGGTGATATTTTTCTAATTTTCGTATCATTATGCTTTGTTCTGTAAAGAGACAGAGATAATAACAACAATCAAAAAGCACTACAAATAGTTGCAGGAACTATTTGGTATTTCCAGTTCTATATATATGCACCATTAAAAAACTACAATTCGTGTAACCATTTTAGTACCTTTTGACAAAAGACCTTTCGAAGATGTAACCGTCGGCGAAATATCCTTCGACCAATCATTCTTGGATGTTACATGTCGTTTGGGGAAAAATTGTTTAGCAGTCAGAGAAAGGCTTTTCACTCGACATATCATAAACACAAAAGATAAAAGAGAAGAAACAACGAAAAGTTGTACGAGGTAAGAGAGAACATAAAGATAAATCAAATATGTTATAAATGAGGTGATATAATTCATCTGAGCATGTTTTTTTCATGCATGCATGTATGTCTTTTTTTTACTCGTTCTGTAGACAACGATAAAGTATATCGCAAATAATATACAAGTGAAAGAAAAAATCCTTCAAGACAAATATTAGTGAATATATCAACACTTTAGCCAGGAAAAAATTCTTTCTTTTCTCAAGCAAATACAGAAATACTGTCCAAATAAAGGAATAAATGATTCATCAACATTCAATACCCAAGTTGAATATATATATATACGGTCGAAAACGACAGCTTACGGTGAGAAATCGCGATACAGTTCAATGAACCGATTCTTTTTTGGGAACTGAATCCAGTGACTAGTTCATTTTTTGAGAATCTTTTTCTATTCTAGCATTACATTTCCATGAGCTTCATTCCAGCAAATCTGTGCAGTTCAGAAGCACGGTTTCGAATGAAGCAATTATAAATATAATGGGTAGGCTAAAGTGAGATATCTAGTGACATCAGTTCATTTAAAAAGAACTTATATATATAGATCAGTTTCTGTCAAAGAACTGTTGGGACTGTTCTCAAGATCGAAGCTGATATGAAACTGTTGTAGGTCTATTCCGTATACGATTATCATATAAAAATACGAAGTTCGTATACGCCCATATACGAATATTATAAACGACCGTTTTTTTTTCTCTGCTTACGAAACCAAGATGTGCGAATAAAATTGTAGACTATGTAAAACGGTGAAATATGATCGTGTATGGAGTCCATAATCGTCGACTTTAGTAGATATAATCACAAGTAGCGCTCATCTTACGAATGCACAGACTCTTTTCTGAAAGAATGACACTCTCTTGTGAATTAGAAACAGCTTAACATGACTCAGTACGTTGCGATCCTGAGAATAGTTGGAGGGTCTGAAAATATTGAGTCTTATTTTTAACTCCTTGAAAGTAAACCTCAAATGTTCATGCTGCAGACGGTCTTTGTAAAGCGAAATATTTTGTAATGTGCATAACGTTGAGAACGATAATACATCTTTTAAAAAACAAAATCATGCAAGGAATTTTGTCGATAATTTATCTTGCCAGTTCTGTATTTTTATTAAAGAATGACATCTTTCTTAAGGTTTATGTAATATTACGCAAACATTTATTACAGCAGTCGTGACACACTTATTCACATACAACATTAGTAAAAATTAAAGATGAATTCAGCAGTAAGAGTTACAGAAACAAGTAAATGTTAAACACGACATTGAAACAGAAAATTCAATGTTAAAATTAAAAAGTTGCAATATTCTTTTTTCTAAAACCAGTATGTTGGTTGTTTAAGGCCCCCCCCCCCCCCTCAGAATCGACTTGCCACTTAGAACGGTCCATTTGGGCTGAAACTTTCAGAAATGAGTGATACTAGTGAGAAACGCTTATGGTAAAAATTTCAGCCTTATATATCTTACTAAACTAGACTTTCGGTTCGTTTTATAGCTTCCACAAGAATCGAAATAACTTCATGGCTATAAGTAGTTTCGAGGTCGGGCTGGTTTGAAATTAAAGCTAGCCTCTGTGCGCAACTTTTAATCGGACAGAATTTTTAAATTTCCTCTCATTCATTTTTTATAAGCATTTCAGTGGACATGACTTTCAAAGTAAGCCTAAAAACGGTCAACGGACGACAGTAAATCCAACTTTTCTTAGTCCAGGAGTCAAGTGTCAAAAGTCCGTCCGATCAAAAGTTAGCTCTCGTGAAGACCTTTAAAATGAAAGAAAAATATCGGGAGCACCACCGAGCCAAGCGAAAGTTATTTCAATTTTCCTGTCTGGAAACCATGTTTTGAGAAAACCGCTAAAGAAGTTTTAGAAATGGAGTTTTTCAGTCAAATGCAGGAAATAATGGTATATTGATAACATTTATATGGAATTTTTGAATGCACGCAATAGATGGTGTAAGCTAGCACTACAGGTCGTACAATATGATATAAGAATGCTTATTCCATATTGATAGAAGTAAAAAAAGTAGACTTCCCAAAAATAACAAAAACCGCGAAAATCTCTCCGAAAACCGGGTAGTGAGGTGGAAATCTTCTACGAAAGTCTGTAAAAATTTGAGCTTTTTGTTTAAAAATGTATGCATATTCTGAAAGAGGAAACATCGCTACATCTTCCTATGATAAAAATTCGACTCCGATTACTTTACCAAAAAATGGATTTTCTGAGGGGGGCGGGTCCTTAAGTAGCTATTGTCATCGCAATCATAAATGATTATAGTTAGATAGAACTATTCTACTGCTTTTATCGATATCCATGACTCTATTAATCCTTCATCATTTAAATGTCACGGAATCAGCTGTTTCTTTCTTCCTAAAAATGCTTTAAAAAACTCAGTTGCAACGTCGAATTCATTCATCGACGTACATTCATAATGTAGACTAATTTTATTTTATTTAGTATCTTTGACATGAGACAACACAACTATTTCTTTTGTTCACTATTAGAACTGGTTATAAATCATTATAAATAATCTATGGAAGACAACTTCACATTGGCAAACATTCTTGAATAGAATGGTTTTATTATTACTTAAACTTTTGTTAATCTTATTAAGTATTTCAAAAAGAAAAACTAAACATATTTATAAAAATGATGTTAAATAAAATGCTCGTATCTACTGTTAATTGTATTGTGAATAATAATTTTGTGAAATTCGTTCAAAATAGCATCAAAATTTGGTTGTAAAAATGATTATAGGTCGTTGTGGATGAAATCTTTTTCTTCATGACAAAATACATTAACTTTCGGTTCCTTTTGTTGTCAACGATACTGAGCTTTTTTTAACGAAATATGAATTACTTCGATTTCTTCTAAATCTAAATGTAATTTATTATCTTAAACAATCAGCTCAAATGGCATCACAGAAAACGCTCAAGCCATATTTTCATGTATAAGACATTGACATTCTGAAAATATTTTATCTCATGAGCACAGTTGTCGAATGTACAGGCATCGAGCTATGGGATCAGTTTTTGTGGATATCATATATAAAATACAGTTAATATCAATTAATTTGTTTTGAATATTTACCAATTGTAGCATCGCAATCCGCTATCCGATGGTGTTCTTTCTTGTTAAGAGTTCTATCAGCTGCTTTGATCGTACATAAAGTCTTCAAATATATTTGTAGAGTTCTGATATCGATCAATAGACAACTATGACGTAATACATCTTTGAAACATCGATCAAAAATAATTCTATCCTGTCAATTGCGCTCACTACTAACATGTCAAGAACATATTGAAATATAGATTAATCATCTTTAAAAATATAAATGTTATCAAAACTATTTTGCTTTCCTTCATATATATCGATGAATGAAGAATCTATTCTTCGTTTTATAATGTCTTCATGTTGTTATGGAAGTCAATCGAATATACTGTATACTGCACGTAAAGCACATAAACTACAATATTCATAGTCTGACAAAAGAAAACTCAACAGATCGATCTAAATGAAGATTATTTTTACCTCTATATACTCTTCTTTGACATGTTATTTTGCAATTGACTTATTTATGTTTATCCATAAAGTATGTTAAGAAAGCGATAATTACAAGTGAAATATTACAATAGTTGTACGTGTATTAGTAATCTAAAAAGCACTTTTATAATAAAACAATTACAGATATAAAAATAATGAATGAAAGAGAAAACTCTGCTGATTTTTTTGATTTATTTGGATTACAACTGTATGTTACAGTATTCGTATTACTACAAGGTGATCCTTGTTGACATAATGTATAACATGATGTACAATCTCCATTTGTCATAAGATTATAAGTTGGACATCCATTTGCTTCACAACACTGACATTGACAACGTATATTTCCATTATTTTGACTTATACAAATACCATTCGTTTGACCCAAATTGAATACCGATGGACAAAGTCCTGGATATCGAGTTTGGCATGCTGCTATACAAGTCGATGATGAACATTGTGGTACTATAACGTTGCCCACATAGGTATTTGGTGAACAATTAGGACCCGATTGACAGCACATACATGAGCAAGTTTGACCTATCGAAGGACTATCAGTTAATCTATTGACTGTCGTTGTCAATGTTGTTGTTGTTGTTGTTGTCGTTGTCGTAATGGGACCAGTACATATACCACTTGTTTGTCCATTATGATTTGATACACATTGAATTGGATACTGTGTATTACATGAAATACTACAGGAACCTGGTGTGCATACATATGCAGTACTATAACCAACAAAAAATGGTGTACAAGTAGTAGAACCTGTATTACAACAATCGCATTGACAATTATACAGCGGATTAGTATATGGTAAACATTGTACTGAAATTTGACCATTAGGAGAATCTGCTTGGCATTGAGAAAAAGAAGTACGACATTGTAGACGACATGTATCTAGCGTACATGATTGCATGTATATAGGAGTAAGGATATATGGACTGCAGAATTGACCAATACAACAAGAACATGAACAAATAGCTTGCTGAGATTGAGCATAGTTTATTAACAATAATATAACCAGTAAATACATGTTCGGTAACTCTTTACGATTATATATTATAGTTTAGATCAGACTATTTTGCACCAGCGAGTCGTATAACAAAAGATAAGAATTATGTATTTGCTTAACATAAGGCAAGAGAACGAGCAAGAAAAAAAAGCTGATTTCCACGTTATATTTTATTGTATGCTTGTTCTGTCATAAAAAAATACCACTTTTTCATGTGAAATGGTATATAGCATTCGCACACAAATAGAAGATAAAGCGTCCTTCTTTATCGGTTTTGTGATTACTCATGCTTTTTATATATATACTCGAATAGTATAGTCCATTGAGATTTACACATAATACGAAATAAATATTTATACAAGAGTCAATCAACAAATGAATTATCGAAGAAACGTCAACATATTTGGTCATATGAAAATAAAGGGAATTATTTGAAATAAAATTCTTCGACATAGTTGGTTTTCAGTAGTTATGCAATGAAGTATTCAAACAAATCTATGTATGCAGTTTGATTAAAAGAAATTAAAATCCAGAACAGTGAAAACTTTCTAACATACGAAGTTAATCTTAGCAATTTCACATATACATTTATCTGTTTCTTTGATTGAATTCTCAAAAACAATTATTATTCATTACATAGAGCATATGTTGAATATTATAAGACACGCGGCTTCTTTGTGGAAACAAATATTGTCGATTACATGAATCAATTGTTTAACTTTTACGCTTCTTATTAATTTATTGGATGGAATGTACTCATCAAAATATGAAAAAAAACAGACCGGTATCGACAAACTTATGAAGTAAAATAGTTTTGTGTCACAAAAAGCTTATGATCAGTGACAAAAAAATAGTTCGATGGAAATAATGATTGATCAATCTAAAATAGGTATGGATGAAGATTAGCAATATTCTGTTTAAAACATTTAGTTAAATCTGTCTTATAAATTATCCAGTCTTTGATATACGAAAACAATGATGGAGAAGTATTAATTTCAAATAGCTATGTTAATTTTCATAATTTCTAACTACATCTCATATTCATAGAGTAGTTGTAAAGAATAAAGAGCATAATAAAATTTACAACAATCAATCTATTTGTCTTAACCAATTGAAAAAAAGAAGTGCAAACTATTAAATGAAGCTTGTTACTATAGTCCCTTTGAGACCTGAAATATGAAAGTCACATGAGTACTTTAGCTTCATTCTACTAATACAACATACGTCAAATGAAAAATGTCTCGTGAACTATAGCTGTTTTACAAGATAATTAATTGTCAAAGAAGCGATCCGTCTTATGTATTTCTCCATTTCGAACAGATCTTATTTTTATGTTTTTTACTGGCGTTTATTTTTTGTTTGTCTTGTTGAAATTCGCACATTATTTTCGTTTCCGTATTCTATTTTTTCTTTATTAAAAGTTATTATTATTATTCTAACAGTTAATTAAATTGACAAATAAGCCTGTTCCATATACAGATTCTATTTAAAAATATGTCTCAATACATTATTATAGATCTCGATATACTCAAAAATATGCTGATATTAATTATTTCATAAAGTTATAACTGGATGAGTTCGCGCTTTTTTATGTTGACCATATCACGACTGTGATATATCAATACATCACTATCCATCATCCTCGAAATCTTAGATATAAATTTTTCTATGTGCAAAAATCAAAAGCTGTGCTATTTCGAACATTTGCAAGCGTATTCCCATCGTTCAAATTTTGAGAAAGATTTTAGGATATTCTAGAATAATCTAAGCCTTGTCGTCAATGTCATTCAGTGCCTTTATCCATTGCTAAAGAACTCTGTAAAAAGAGTCTGACGCTGATTGTCTTTGGTGGTCAAGGTCTGTAATGTGACGAGAGAGTCACAAAAATTTCGACTTCAAATCTACAATTACTATTTTCTTCTCCCACTTCAAGAAAATTTTTATCTTGTCCCAGCAACAATCGATTTCTATATTGAAGATATTAAAAAAGATCACAGAATGAGAATGAAATTTTCTGCATTTTTTTAACGTTAAAGCATTATAGAACCTCGGTCTTAACTACTAAAAAAAATACATTTCAGCATCTATATAATAAGAATGATTTTTTTCTCTTCATATGGTTATATTTTAGTATAAAACAAAAAAAGAAATGAAATTGATCAGCAAAGATAATAAAAATGATGTCAATATTATGACTGCTATAAAATTCATTACTGTTACAATGGAATTTTCATAACAATTATTTTACTACTTATTGTTTTCAATTAATAAACATTTTTCTGAAAGATTTGTTGATATTAATCAAACTGTTTGATACAACTATCCTATAAATCAAAATCCTATGTTTCACGGTTTATCCTGGTTCCATTCATTACAATTTCCATTGTTCTGTTTGCGTTATTTTGCAAAGAATTGACAACTGCACATGACTCAATAATCATATTTAACTTGTTCCGTAGACTAAAAGGATAGGACCTACAGATGGAAATTCACGAATGTTTGCCTGTCTGTAATGCAGTTACCATATGATAAGTATACCACACATGCCCAATTCGAATTGCTGTCCAAATCTCGAAAAAATAAAACGTTGAAGAAAACTGCCGAAATGAAGTATCTCTCAAGAAAAAATTTCGAAAAAGTAATATCTCAAAAAGCAGACTGCAGAAAAAATGCGATTTCGAATAGAAAAAAGTTCGAATTTTTCTACATCGCATTTCCAAAAAGAAAATCTCGAAAGATGCCCTCTCATTCTACGATCATTTGATCAGTTTAAAATAGATCTATTTTCAAGTTGAAAATGGTGTCATCAAAAAGAGCATACCAAATTAAAAATTTATTTAAGAAATCTCGCTGGTGCGCGCATACAAACTATAACTACAGAATATCGTAAAAATCATTACACGTAACAATTTGACCCGATTTCCATGGTTTCTAACATATATAGATAGAAAAAGATTTGAATGCTCAAGATGTTCTTGTAGATTCGGATAGAGAAAAAGATTCTACATCAAATGCATCTGTTTTCGATGAATTCAAATCTGATTTTAATGGATTTTCAGATCAGAAACTGCTTTTTCAGGCTTTCGAAGACTAGTTCGAATCTTTCTTTGCTATCTTATTGATTTCGAAATAAAAATTTCATATTTACAATCAGCAGACATAGCTCTATCGATCTCTAAAGACTTCTAATCGAGCGGAGAAAAAAAGACCCTTCATCGGTACCTGCGGCAACACCCAGGTGTGAAAAACTGAGTTATTATAAAATACGAAACAAACTCCTGAAAAATAATGAGGGCTCAATGATGATTCTTAGGCAAGGGGGAAAAAGCATACTTCTCTAGTTGCGAAGTATCAAGAAGTACAGAAGTCTGCTGTTTCTCCGTTGCTATTTATGCCTAAAAAATTGGATTTTTAAATATATTAATAAAGCAGAGTCTATTATTAATTTTATAAACTTTTTGATATTTTCGTTTTAAATAATAAATAGATGATTGGATATTAAAGTTCTTTGTATGAAAAATCATTAGATTACCATCTACAATATTTCATGTATATGTTGCATGAGAAATTGAAATGCAGAAAAGTTTAAGATTCAACTAGGAAACATTAAAATTTCAATTTTTCCTGTAAGAAGGGTGTGGAGGTGTGGAGGTGTGGGTGTGGGATGTGCGGGTGTGTAGTCATCTATCAGTAAACTGACTTTAGTTCCTTCGGAGTTTTATAAAAATAGAATTTACTATATACTATTCGATGCGCCGCAAATGTTCTAGAACATGATATATTTGATTTTTCCTTTCTGAATAGACTACCTTATCCGACAAGGGCCTTTAAGCACCGAGATCAGAGCTTTTGGTCAGCTCCAAGTAAAATAGGATGAAGCATTTTATTTTCTGAAACAAAAGTGAATATTAGATCCTCTTTCACTAAACGGTTATGTTCATCAGATCAGTTCACATCTCCACTTTTATAAGGTGCATCTAGGACAAAAATCAAATCCAATTTAAGGGATATATGTCCTCACCCTAATATACCTTGAAACTTTATCAGTTTATAGAGACTGCCTTCAATAGTATACCTATGTAATTGAAAAAAACTAATCAAATGTTGACTAAGTTATTAATTAATCAAGTGTAAAATTAATTGAGATTTTGACGTTGAGATTCATTTTTTTAAAGCTTTCTAGTTTTTAGTATAAATGGTACTTTCATTTGATTCTGAGATAGTTTTATAGGAAAGCATTTGTAGATGCAATGCCATGCAAAAAAAAATTTTAATAATGACTTTTTTGAGTACCTTTCAATCACTAATTAGTACTGATTAATAATGCTGCAGTGGAAAGAAAGAAATTTTCCCAACACTAAAACAAATAGAAAGGAATCGTATGTTGGGTATGGATGTGATATTCGAAATCAGCATTCACAGCAGAGTCGAATAATATATTTTCTACGAAAAAGAATTTGATGTAATTACACCTGTACCCCCTGTGACGATTTCAGATACCAGAAGAGATACTTCGGATCACAGTATCCTTTATTCTTTTCTTTTTATCAGAAAGCGATCTTTTCATACAAGACACGCGCCTATATACAGAAGACAGAAAATCAAGAGAGAGATAAAGGAGGAGAGACATATTAAAAAGAAGAAAAAATTATATGAAACGTACGAATATATATTAAGAGAAAGATATGAATAACAAGGAGAGGAAAGTATGAGGAAGGATGGATGTTGTATCGATTGCGTTATCGTCGATACTGAACTACTCAAGACTATACATGATTACAACAGAAGAAAGAACCAATATTGTTGAATAAGACGCGTCAAGGAAAGGTTTAACAAATTGTATAAACTGTTGGCATAGCCATAAAATAGCATTGGATAAATATATACACTTATTTCTATCAAAAACGTCACACTTTTTTTAATAATTCCGTCCGACATACGATTCTGAAGGAAAAAAAGGGTTTTGCCTGAAAAATATATCATCCAATTCAGATTTTGATGCTGATTCCGAATATCATACCAATTTTGACCACAAGTAGAAGGATAATGGTTTAAATCACCAAGTATGACCCCAATTTGTAGCAGACTGTCTATCGTATCGAACTTTGTTTTTTCGAAAATGGATCTTTTCAAAAGAAACTAGTTGAACAACTGGTAGAGCTTGAAAAGTTCTATCGAATGATGTGTTGCACGATTCCTTTCTATTTGTTTTAATATTGAGAAAAATTACTTTTTTTTCCACTGCAGCATTATTAATCAGTACTAATTAGTAGTTAAAAGGTACTCAAAGAAGCCATTATTAAACTTTTTGGCATGACATTGTATCTACAAATGATTTTCTATAAAACTATACCAGAATCAAATGAAAATAACATTTATATTGAAAACTAAAAAGCTTTAAAAAAATGGATCTCAACAACAAAATTTCAATTAATTATAAACTTGATTAATTAATAACTTGGTTAATATTTGATGAATTGTTTTTTATTACACAGGTATACTATTGAAGATAGTCTCTCGTAACTGATAAAGTTTCATGGTATGTTAGAGTGAGGACATCCCCTGGTAGGATGCACAACATTAATTTTTCAATATGTGCTTTTAAGTTTTTTCTGACAAATTTTAGTTGGAAAGTTGTTCAAATACACGATGGTGTGATAAAATTTAATAACAACTGATAACTTAAAAGAAAATTTTATATGTGACTTGTTTAGTTTCACAATATCTCTGCGAGATCAAGCGACTCCAGTTTCGAATTCAAAAATTGGATTGAAGTATGTCGATTTAGTTGTGAAATACTTTTTCCTGGAGATTCAAGCGCATGAGAACAACAGAAGAAATTGCTTTCTGCAGCATTCAATAAAATGTGTAAGAATTACATTTCGACGACTGATGAATCGATATCATATGAAAAATCACTGACTTTATTTCACACTTTGTAATTGAATTTGTGATCATAAATATGTGAATGAATTTTTTTTACCTTCAGCCATCTATATAAGTGTACCGTCAGAGAAAGAAGGAGAGAAAAACAAAACGATGGCAAAATAGTCGAGACATATACGACATGCATTACGTTTTTTCATCTTAGTGTAGTGAAGAACAACAAGAGAAAAGAAAAATGATGAGTACCCGAATCATGTGTCTCACATGGAAAGGTTTTGCAGCTGTTGAAAGTCAAATTATCAAAGTATTTTATCGTTGTAGTTGCTGCTTCTTTATCTACAAGCTTTTGCGTGTCTTTTGATTATTATACTTCTCTTTTGTTGTTTTGTTTCAACCTTATTTTCAAACCAAATCTTATCAATCTGTTTTACTTTTATTGAAAATTTTTCACTGTTCCCGTTGTAGTAATGCTTTGTATTTATCTGTTATTTTGAATTTACGGTATTCTGTTCACTCATGTTTTTGAGAGGTTTCGCATAATTTTTTTCCATTTATCTACAATTTTGATTTGGCAATTTTGCTAATTTTAGTTGCTTTTATCAATAGAACTGTCGATGACTAAGCATCTATGTTGTCTTTCTGAGGATATGAGTGTGAACGTGTTTATGGATACGCTGACATAAATACTCACACCTACATGCACAGCAATCCAACCAACCACACACACCTTGTTCGACTTTTTCTCGAGTTATCAGGCTACCAGAATTCTTTCAGCGCAAAATCCTAAAGTCGATACATAAATGATCCTCGTGTAAAAGCAGACATATCAATATGTGCTCGCTTTAGGAGCATCGATTCCATACTAAAATGAGAAAGAGTCTTCTTTTGGGCATTTATTTCTTGACTTTACTATGGTGAGATTGAATGAAAAAATGTGGATTTAATTTTAAAAAACCATATTCAAAAAAATAAGGACCTGCTAAAAGATTGTTTTCTTTGTTGAAAATAACGTAGTTATTGTTGCGCAAGAGATCGAAGAAGCCATGAACAATGCTGACATTTATCGGATGAAGTTCAACAAGGATTTGTCGCGGAAATGAAATCTTGTTCGAATTGAATAGAAGAGGAAAGAATGAATATTCACTACCTTCAATATCAATTTTAAGTATATCAATCGATCGATTTATATGATTTAATTCTTGAATAATAGTCATCCAATTCTTTGAACCATTTGGTTCAATTCCAGTGCCGAATATGATCTGATGAAAACTACACGTTTTAATCGGACACGAGTATAGAATTTTATCGAATGCATGAATTTCACATTGAGGCATGAGTTTTTTCATGTAATTTTCGAATGAAAAATCACCCCTCGACCCGACACTATAAACTAGACAATCATGACGTGATTTCAATCGATAAGGATCGCAGACCCATTTGCCACCATCGCCCATATCGCCAATACGTCGAGCATGTGAACAATGAAAATTCGGTTCCCAATTCGACAAAAAATAGATAGCATCTTTACGTTTCATCATATTCTCTTTATCTTGAGCATGATAGACATGTTTACGTTCATTCCAGAGAGAATCCGGTTCGCAAATAAATTCATCACTTTCTACGAGAGATTGTTGACAACCACTATTGATCGGTAAAATAATTGACTGTGAAGCGGTTGAATGTGAAACAGTTGACTGTGAACATGATTGATAAATCCATATGAATAAAATAGATAATAACACAAGAATTGATAATTGCACCAGTGGTGGAATCGATAGTGTTGACATTGATTAAGACTACTGAAGGGGATCGAAGAGTTAAATTATTTGGACAACAGTAATGGATAATGTTGAAGATCAAAATCAATAATAATACTATTTACACTTTCTTCATAGATTATCGTCTGTCGTTGTTCTAATGGAAACAAATTAGAAAATAATTTAGGAACATGATGAAAGTATGATATTGACGTTATTACAGAACATGAAAAGAAAAAACTTTATTTTTCTTGAATGATTTGTTTGAATTGTTTACTTACAATATTTTTTTTTCTGCCGAGACTTCTACACATTTTCACATTACTTTTGTTCTGTCTGTTTTATTATTTACTTTTCTATCGATACATTAATTCTTTTTTCGCTTCTGCACTGACAGAGAATGTGATTCCAAATAAATAGAAGTTGATGAGTCTATAGAAGTAGACGACACCTAGGCAAAGCCTTTATTCTTGTTTTCTAGAAAGAGCTACACACAAACAAAGCATCTTTTCAAAAATCGGTCAACAGTTATACCATTTTCAAATATCAACTCTTCTGTTATTGCTCGAACAGACTTCTAGTAACTTGCCGTTCTCGAGATCAACGCAACGGAGAATACGAACTTCCAATTCGAATACTTGAAGGAAAAAACTCGCAATAAAAACTTATACAAGTAATTCGCATCGTAAATTATCTCATTTTCTAATCTCGTTAAAATGTTCGTGTTGAAAAACCATTATGATGTACGTCACCTGACTTTTTTTGCAAGTTTATTTTTTTTATTAAAAACAAGCAGGCAAATAAGTTTGAAATCTCATTCTCTCCATGTTTGAATAAAGCGATTGATTCGTAGAAAACAAATAATTCACGATGAAATAAGACGACATTGAAATGTTGTCAATGCCATCTAGTAAACATTGATTCTCTTGAATAATATTTAAACATCAAAGATTTTTTAATAAACGAAATAATATGAGTATTCGCTGAGACTCAGACTGACACAAAATAGCGGCCAAAACGGTGTTTAAAGGTTTCAGTATGTAAACTGTTTAAAATGTTTTATTAGTTGTCAAAAACGCGTTACAACAGCCTAAGACTTATAATTTTTTTAGCATATTTTTTAATGTTTAAATGCTCATATTTATCGAAGCTTTCATCTTTTTAACGCATTCATGGCGTCTAATGAAACATTTTTGATGAAAATGTTTCATAACAATTCATAAAGTTTTCGTGTAAACAATGAATTGGCAAATATGCTGGGTATGCCAAAAGTCCATACCCAAAAATGTTTTTTCGCATAACTTCATTAATTGATCTGTATCAACTAACGTTTTTTCGTATGATAGGTGATGTCATCAACTTTTTATTTCTATAGATAAATATAAGAGTGCTCTTCGACCATGACACAAAATTTCAGCATCTTTCCGGGTTTCATAGTAATATTTTGAAACGCTTATTTTTTAATTGTTTCGATCTCTAGAATTCTTGTGATCTTAAAATTGTTCAAATTTCGAATAATCGTTTTATAGAAATTAGTTGTAATGTGTTCTCATAAAAAGAAATCTAAAGTTCAAGTCAAAGTCTAATAGTTGAAAACAAGACCCAACGAAATATTATTAGGAAATCAGCAGAAAAGGTTCAATTCTTGTAACTCGACTAATGATAATTGCTTTAAGCAGCATTTTCATAGTTTGTCCATAGAAATAAAATCTTAAACAGTGTCATCTGTCATGCGAAAAAAATAGTTTTAGGAATGACCTTTTGCGACACTCTGGAAATGCTTCGTGTCACCCCCTGAAAAAAGAGATACTCTGAAAAACCTATAGTAATTCATTGGACAAGATTGTTTTTTTTTCTGTTCATTAATTTTTTTCTATTCATTCTTTTGAAAATCGAAATCGAATCTCATTTTCTCTATTTGCTTTTTTTTTAAATTTAAATATTCTATTTGATTGTAAAATGTCAATATTAATTTCTTCTTTCTCAGATATCAGTTGCCTGAGTTTTCAAATGTCATTTACAATCTCCGATCACATAACAATAAAGCAATAAATATTCTGCAGTAAGAACATTTTATGTGTATTCATTTTATAGTGAGAAGCTAAACTTTAACATTTGAAAATAATTGACGAACAGATTGTTGGGTGAATAAATCTTTAAATACTAAGATCAATCCAACGATGAGCTAGAGAGAGAGAGAGAATGGAGAACGACTAATCATCTAACAAGTTTCTGATACTTAGTAAAATACAATCCAGATTGCAATTACTGATGAATTCTCTACTCGATTCACAATAGTAAATTTATTTTTATTTAAATCAGTTCATAGCTTCGAAATTTTAAATGATTTTATTGAAAACAAAATTTATATTCTATGTGAAGTGAGAACTGTTACAAGCTTCGAGCTTATTCTAGAAATGACATTATCATCTTTGTCGGAGTGTTTCTACTTGCTATCCTCTTGAGTGATAACGTTTCATGTAACTTATTTATCTGTTGAAGATTAATAATTAGTTTTATAGTTAGTTGAAACTCTAACCTTCTTCAAAAACTCATCCTATAAGTTTATATATTGTCTATCCTACATATAATGATCGCTGTAACTTGATGGATATTAAAACTTTTCAGAACACTTCACTATTACTAACAATACACTAAGTGTCTTAGGCTTTCTCTCATTTCGAAAGATTTTCTTCAGAAACGACATTTATTTGAATTGAATGTGTATATGATAATACACACACTATAGATACGCATTACTTATAGTGAACTGGACATTGACTCTAACTATGGGCTAGAACTTAAGTCGATAACTAACCTAGGCAACTACTCTTTAAATGAGATGAAACACAAATGAACATATTAAAAGGAAAGAACGAGCAAATAATCTAAGGAGAGAGACAAAAAAATAATTTATCTTGGTGAACTGGACGCAAATGCAAGGCAGAACGAAATAAAAATTGTTTCAAATGTACATGAATGATCAACAATGTTTCTATCTGGTACAGAGAATAAAAGATAAAATAAGAAACAGGCACTTATTGAAACTCGATGAAAAAACTTAAGGGGACTCCCCCTTTCCATGCATGAAAATCAAAATTTTTTCGAATTTTGGTTTTTCATCGCTATAGATGACTTTAGTTGTCCTCTATCATTCTATAAAAAATAAATTTTCTATGTCGTCGTTTAGACCCAGAAAAGTCGATTTTTGTAACATCCCTATATGATAAAATG